ACTTGTCTGTTTTTGGTCTTCAGACGTGAGCGAGTCTATGTGAGTCACAGTCATAATGGGACTTTTATAGATTTGAGGATGTGATGGAGGTGTATTCCACGGGGCTTTACCAGGAAAATCTGTCAGTAGAGAAACAGAAAGCAACTTTTTGTTGCAGACACTCACTTGTAAGATTCCAGAGCTCTGCTGCCATACTCCAGCGCCGTCTCATAGTCGTCCAGACTAATGCAAGCATCCATGGCCAGATCCAGCAGCCTGAGCACATAGATGTTCCTGTCCGGGACGACATCTGCGTATCTGTGCAAAAAAGCCTGGCTCTCTTTCAGCAGCTCCTCCCAGCCTTTTGATTAAACAGTTAAGGATACAATTAAAAACAAGCTGAAATGTATTATGAAAACTACGGTAGCTAAGATCAAGAAAGTCTTGCTAAGCCAGTTACAAAGCCTGGTGAAGACACTGGCACAAAAAAATCACAATCTATGCTTGTTATTTCATGGGGAAGACAGCCTGCTTTTTCTTTCATACATCAGACACGTGTCCAAAGGGGTAAAAGCAAGCGAGCTAGACAGAACTGACAGCTTTGTCCTCACACCTTTCACTGCAGTGTCTGACTACAGTATCGGGCATAGTTTGCAGAGACTAGCAGTTGTTTCCAGAGCAAAACTGCTACAGGCTAGTTCACGTCACCCTGCTAAACCCTGAGATACAGTCAGTTCTCACCCCTGATTCGGCTGTGAAGGATACGCTGCTCCGACTGAAGCTGCTCCAGGTGAGGGATGGCGTCTCTTAAGGACGTCCATGCCGTCTTCTCTCCAGCCAGCATGTCACAGTCCTGTTCACAAAATAATCTCACATGAATTCATTTTATTATTATTATAATTTTTAACAGAAGCCATAGCAAAAATAACATAACAATTTATTGACCTAATTTATTGATTTACCCGATAAATAAACAATACATGTACTATTTATATTTAAATTTAATTTTAAGTGTAAAATTGTAAATTATTATTTTTTTTTTTACAAATATTTAAATATAATTTACTTCATAAATGTATTTATTGGTATCAACTGTAATTATATTTGTTTATTTATATAAATGCATGTATCTAATTTAAAAGAAAAATCACCATATAAATTAACAATAAAAATGACATAAAACTAAGCACAAATCAAAAAGTTTTTACACCCTTATTATGTGTGAATAAGCAACATATTTACTATATAAATTCATAATACATTTATTTATATATTTTTTTATTTATATTAGGAAATGTATTTATATTTAATATTTATAATTATTTATTTAAAAACGTGTTTGAATATTATGTACAGTATGTATGTATTTATATGTTTATTGTATTATATTAAAATGCATTTATATTTACACAAATATCTTAGATATGTTATTTTTTTTATTATCAAAAAAACAGTAGATTACAAAAGATTGTCAGTAAAAGACAAAGATTAATTAATTGTCAAAGTTAATCAAAATTTG